TACAATAACATGAGGAGAGAGAGAGAGAGAGAGAGGAGAGGGAGGGAGAGAATCCTAGGTGTAACAAAACAAGGTAGAGTTCAGGTAAACACTAGCTCTCGCCGCCCCTTTATAAGGTGATGCTAGGAGTAGTTCGAGGTGTTCGTTCCATTACTCAGACCTCGGTAGCATTCACCATCATCAATCTGTAACCCCTTCGTATGAGGTGTTCCCCTTGTCAATCCAAACAAAGCATGAATAGGGTGTTACCTCAACCATGAGGGCCCGAACCTGGCTAAGAAAACCATATGCAATTGCCTTTGGTACTTCAGGCTATGCTCTCCGCCCTACCAAGGGCACTAGTGGTTTTCTACACCGTCACTTGGGATATGGGCCTAGTGGGAGTGGTCCATACAAGATCTCTAGCTCATGTCTAGCAAAAAATGTTTCAGAAACCAAAAGTAGACACAAATGTTTAACAAACTAATTTTAAGTTGGGTTTGTATTAAAATCATGTAGTTGTTTTATCTATATCATTTCTTTTCCATTCATATATAAACTAGAGTTGTATACTTATATTACCTGTCCATGTAATAAAGTTAAATAAACTTCAGCAATCTAAAAATTATAAAAAAGAGATTGGTTAGCCAAATGATAAAGTAGACATAGACAATAGACATGTGGACAAACATCTTCATACCATAGCAACCTCTAGCGGGTCTCATGGCCACTTGGGAGTAAGGGTCTTTGGAAGCCAAATCTTGTAGTCTTCCTTGTCTTTGATGATCGATAACAACATCGGGAAGCGGGAGAGACCATGGATCTACAAGGAAAATTTGGCCTAGGTTTGTTATATGTTATGTGTCTTTGTGTCATTGTTCTAGGTAGGGAGGTCAAGACGCTATGGAATAAATACCTACCGGACTCGCTCTCGACGCGATGATCAGTGGTGGAGCTACAATGCCAAATATGGGCGGGCCGATACACATAATAGCCCACTATTTTTCTCAAAATGGCCCAGTCTAACATCAAGCCCCCATTGTTTTTACTCTGGGTTGGGCAGGCCATGGTCGCACATCCAGCCTGCTTGCTATAGCTCCACTAGTGATGATGATGCTTGCTCCAGTGTCATCTCAGGTGCGCGCTAGGGTTGGCTTCCCTTAATTTAGCCCTTCACATTTTCCTGGGAGAGTCGTTGACTATGTTGCTTCTGCCTCGGTTGGCGATGGTGCTGGTGGTCTTCGATAAGATCCTGCAACAGCACTTTCGACATCGACATGGGGTTGAGTGTCCTCGCCCAACTTCGACATTCTTCTCCGGGTCAAGTGTATACAAATTATCACTTTACATCATCACTGGTGTGTCCTAGCAAGTCTCGTAACTTCTCGACCACAATTATAACGACTCTCTGGATCTGGTGATGCAGAGCATGTGCGACATCGAGTATGCACACGACGCACTATCAACTCTTGCAGGTCGGAGACGGGGATGAATTCCCCTTGGGCCCTATTGTAATTTTTGTTTTGACAAGGGTTTTCTTGTAAAGTTCTTACGTTTAATACTCTGTGTGGTATATGCCCTTCGGAAAAATGTGGATGGAAAAAACGATATTATGATTGAAACTCTTTTTCGATCAATAGTTTGTTTAGACATATAGCTCAAACAAATAGAGAACACATTTATTTTCTCGATGGCTACATGGGCCGAAAACACAAAAATAAAAACATTGTTACCATCTAAACTATCAATCTATCATACAAATTATAAAATCTTGGGGGTGATGCAATTAACAACTATATGAGGTGTATTGGAGACACAAGAGGCTATTTGTATCTTGATTGCAGGTTGCTTAAGAGTAGAACACTCTCAACCTACGCCTACACCTCCTACAGATTGATAAATTTTAGATCATCCGGTTGAGGGAAATTGATGTTGTTCTAAATTTTCTGCACTTGGAGGCCTAAGAAAGTTACAAAAGTAGAAGTGCATAGTAGACATCAGTTGCCATGTACATGCATAGTAGTACATCCTTTGTCAGTAAGGATTTAGATGCTTTTCTACTAACTGACTGGACAACTCTACTTTTTCTTAATTAATTGATGAGACAAAACTTTTGCCTTTGTCTCAAAATGATAATAATATGCAGGCTATACATCTAGCCGCCAAGAACTCGATGCCCAAGCTAAGTTTGAGCATATGTCATTCAGGGCATACGCCATGACTATTCATTGGGCAACACGATGAGATCCTGGTGTACAAAAGCTGAGCTTCGCCGTGATGGGCTGACGGCCCCGCCCTTAGGTTCGCCCTCGGCAAGGATGTCATGGCCATTGGCTCCCTCGCCGCCGTCCCCTTAGGGGACGCCCTCCGCATCGCCATCATACACAGACATGGTCCTCTCTAATCAGTCATCACTCAGCAGCACTTTGTGGGAAGCCTAAAGCATTTTTTTGTGTATTGGAACACACATGTACAAAGATGTAGCATTCGCTTTGGTTTACTCCAATATCTCAACTACAACCGGGAAAGTCTTCTCCGTGTGATTGGGTTCCCATGGCAAGAGATGGCTTTAATTCAAAGCCGGGCTCTTCGCGAGCCTTCGTTCTAAAAAAGAACCAGAGGAAAATACCTGGTGAGATTTTATAGAGGGATGATGCAAGCGTAAAATGCATGACATGCAAACTGCTTCACTTCCCACCTACTCTTTGGGTTCTTCTTATTATCATGATTAAGCGGCGTTCATCTCTTGCATGCTAAACAGCGTGCATTGGTGATTCAGCTGAACACTCATGCTTTTTTTTTCTTTCTTTTTTTCGGAAAAAAAAAGCTTAACTAATGTGGTATCCCTAGCTACATATAGGGTGACCAACATCAAAAATCCCATCAAAAGTTTACTGCATTGATGATAATACATGCTATAAGGTATCCACCATTATTTGTGGTGTGCTCGTCACCCACACATATTACTGATGTGTTGTCTTAAATTTATTTATACCATAAGGTTGCAAAACTGGCATGGCTCTGTTTCTGGTTACTGAAACGTGCTATGTTAAATTTATTTTTTAATCAGATGAGAAAGAACATTTAAAGAGGATTGATTTAGCAAAATGATAAAATAGACAAAGGAAAGTAGGTTTTTTTTAGGGGAAGATAAAGGTAAATAAGTTTTTTTAGAAACACCTGTAACTTTATTGATATTCATAACAATTACAGGTACACTGATTTGGACCTAAGATGCAAGAAAATACAAAGTAATTCCTATGACTAAGAATTACAATGAAATCTTTTGAAAGCAACTTCTTCACGGCGTCAATCTCTGCTCCAAAAAATACTCCAAAAGCGTCGGTAAAGAGGCCGCAATTGGACTGGAGCAACAATGTTGTCACTTTTTTACCCGCACGAACATTACCAGTAATGGTTTATGAAAACGCCTTGAGTCGCCCATCCAAAAATATGGGAAGCCTTGATTGAAGAACGTATTTGGGCCAGGGATGATCCCCTAAAAGTGCAGGCAAGCAAATCACTATATCTTCTCTATGGCGTCGATGAAAAATTTCACCTCCGTAAAGAATCAGACCAACAAAAAAAAGGCTGAACGTAACAACATAAAGTGATCAGATCTAAATAATCGGATCTGCGGGGACATAAAGTGAACATAAAGCTCTTGAAGATGTGGCGGCGGCATGAGAAACCCTACGACAAAGGCAACATGGGCCAAACTTGTTTTCTTTCTTGGACAATATTATTAGGGATGAAACAAATAAAAACACCTTTTTTTTTCCTGATCGCAACATGGGCCAAACTTGTTTTTTTGGGGGAACGCGTGAAGCTTGGGCTCAGCGGGTGACATGACTGTGGGCTGGGCCAACGGAGAAGATGCAGGAACGTGTCGCTCCGGCTCCGGGATTGCTCAGTCAGATCCATCAGAGAGCACCGAGCGAGCCAAAAAAAAAAAAAACGATCCCTTCCTCTGTTGTCTTCCCCACCACTCTCCTCAGGCGCCCGAGCACCTCCCCGCACTCAACCTCGGATTCGCGCCGCCGTTTCGGCGCCCCGCCGCCCCGGCGGACCCTGCTCGGCCGGAGCCGGTAAGCGCCCCGCTCCCCGACGGCCCCTTCCGTCGCCGTCCCTCTCGTTGTTTCTCTCGTGTCTTAGGCGGGATGCTGCGTCGGGGCGCTGATTAGCGGGGCGTGCGACGGAGACGCTCCGCCGATTCGGGCTCAGACGCGTGGGTTTGTAGTAGCTGCGAATGGAGCTCCCGGGGCAGGGGGGCGCCGCGCTTAGTTAACTCTGGGTTAGGTTTTGGCTTGGCGCCGGTCTCCTCGGCAGCGGCGTCTGGGCGAGTTCCTCTGGAGCACTTTGTGATGCTCGGAGTCGGAGGCCGGCTGTTTGGGCGTGGCCAGGCCAGTTTCGACGCTCGGTTCGCGTCCCACCTTCGCTCCATTTTGTCAATTTTGGTTTCGACACCCACGATAGCTATTGGGCTCACCGTCAGACAGTGTTCATTCTTCAGTTATCCAATGCTAGCAATAGTTCCGGCTTCTGATTTCTGGGTCCTCTGTGACCCCTTCAGCCAATCTTTTCGAGGGCTGCTGCATATAACTATGGGATGTTTGGCGCGCCGTCCGATAGCGTTTCATTCATTCTTCAGCTATCGGTGTTAGCAGTAGTTCCGTGTCGTGACCCCCTTTTTTGCCAATATGTTTGGACATTGGACATTGGAAGGATTGTTGGTGTATGGTGCATTTGTGTGTCGTTTCATCAAAAGGCGGAACCGTTAGCATTATCGTGTTTGCTTTCCTTGGGACTGATTCAGCTCCTGGAGCAAATTATTAGCCTTATGTTTGTAACTTATCATCTATCACATTATGTTTCTGCATTTATAAGCTGTGGTTGGGCTCATGTTTCATGCTGTTTCGTAACCAGGACGTGCCTCACGTGGTTGTGTTGTATAAACCTGCACTCTGATGATACGTGTGGTGACCACAGAGACAGTAAAATTGGCTTTCTGAAAACAAGAGATGGTAAGTTACCACATTGCCTGGTTGGGCTGGGGAAATACATGGTGTCTTTTTTCTTCTTCTTTACTACGAGAAGCAATTTCGTATAAACTACCCGTCTGGGGATTGGTAGTTACTCACTAACTAACTCCTCTTCAGTTTGTTCCTAAAACAGATAACCAATCTGATCTCGAGGGGCCGCATAGAAACGCTGGGCCGTGGCTGTGCTCCATTTGCTCGCAGCAAAATGATACGAGCTGTATGTCCTGTGAGGTATGCGGCGTTCTTCGGGATTTGTCACTGTATTTCAATAACTCCAATGAACCTGAAGGTGGAGGTATGTAACATAATTCTTGTTGCATTCCCTGGCTCATTTTTGCTTTTATTCCTGTGGTATAGTATAACTGTTGTTGTTTAGCCTGTTAATTTAGTTGAGTTTCTCTCCTGAAATATAGCTAAACGTAGAAACAAGCATTCTGGTGTATCTGTACTGGCAAGATCTCTTTTCGCACCATCTGGTCCAAAATCAAAAGCCGTTGTTTTCTCCGATGGATTTCGAGGCAACAAAAACGCAACAGGACATATGCAAGCTTCCTTGGGTACTCTGCACAAGACATACATGACACATAAGCAGCGCCATAACATAGGTACATTACACCTCTACACCAAGCAAGTATTACTCTGTGCAGCGTATCATCCATATTCTTGCAGCTTTATGTTCCATCTAATATGTACAGAAATCAATGTGTATTCATAACTAGACATGTCTTTAGCTAGTTTAAATCCTCAATGCAGGCAATATTAGCATATGTTGACTAAGCCACAATGATGGTAACTTTTGCTTATCATTAATTCATTATAAGATATGGTAAAGAAAACTAACTGTCCTGGCGGATTATAGCTAGCAGTTCAAACCAGACCTTCTTACCTCTTCTACACAAGAGTTGTAGCAAGAAAGTGGGTGGTGGATTATGGGCCTTTTGATAGATTTGCCAAAACTTCTTCAGAGGGTACACAGTAACTTAGCAGATTGAACGTATGAGCTTTATGTCTAATACATGGCTTATGAAATATGCTTCCTCTAGGCCTTAAGAATAATTTCAATATCAATGTGAATGTTTAATTCTATTGCTTGGAATTTAGGTAAACATTCATATAATGGACTAGCTGTTCTTTTATAGGAGGTCCATATCTTATAGTTTTATAATGTGTGTTAGGAATATACTTAATTATTAGCCTGTTTGCTTGATATCGTTCTGTTTCCTGGATAGATTAGTGGAGACACCTGGAACATGACTGCATTATGTTGATATTGACAGTGCCTTTCAAGTTTGATATACCATCTCCTGATGACATGGTCTCTACAGGCTTAAAATCGTCCAGACATTTGCGAAAAGGTAATCTTTGTAGTGTTTTCTCTTATTCTCTTGACTACTTAAAAGATGCATCTAAACATTTAGTTCAAGAGAATCAAGAGAACTTTATTTTGTATCTTTTTGTTTGCAAGCTCATGTGGAACTTTTGTAGTTGATAACGATTTGACTAATCTCACATCTTTAAGCATAATCAGTGAATCTGTTTATCATGTGGAGAGCAACTATATGCCAGTGTGACCAAAGAACCTTGCACTGGTTCGTGGACCTTGGCGCAGATACCATTTGGTCCAATGTTACTATCAATGTGCCAATCTACTGCCTCTAATCTGCTTTTAATATTCTAAATTAAAGTCAATTTCCACACTGCAAGTGTTGTGGTTATTTATTACTCCCTCCGTCCGGAAATACTTGTCATCAAAATGGATGAAAATAGATGTATCTAGAACTAAAATACATCTAGATACATCCATTTCAATGACAAGTATTTCCGGACGGAGGGAGTACTTGGTAGTGTTGCATATTGACTCATTCATACCAGTTGATACAGCTGTTCCATCTGTAGATATCCCCGGAAAGATGGTGATGGGTGATGATGATCTTGTAGTTGAGAAGGATACAAGTACAGACCCAAGTTCATCAGTGAAGTTGGATGAACTTGGTGGAAATAGTAGCACTGTTGCCGCCAATACTCAGAACGAAACTCTTATTTTGGACAATGAGCTACAACATTTGAGTTTAGAGAGGAAGCCAAAAAACAGTAAAACCAAGATTAAGAAGCCAGTTCCTGTTTCACAATACAAGCCAGAACCGTGGATGCTACAGGGCGAAGATCAAGACATGCCTAGACAACTAAATCTTGCTATTGTAAGTGACCATCTATGCATTACATACTTGCTGTTCTACTATTTTTTTTCCTGAAAGGTATTTAGTCGGTATTGTCCTGTGCTTAATCTCTTTGGATGCGTTAAATTGGAATTATTGCTAGGTTGGTCACGTTGATTCTGGCAAATCAACATTATGTGGTAGGTTGCTGCATGCCCTGGGTAGAATTTCAAAAAAGCAAATGCATAAGAATGAGAAAGAAGCGAAAGAAAAGGTCAGTTTAATGATCAATATTTTCAGCCTCTGTTTTCGTATGTGTACACATCTCTGTATTTGTAACCTTTGTTTTTCAGGGAAAAGGGTCGTTTGCATATGCTTGGGCAATGGACGACAGTGCTGATGAAAGGGCACGTGGCATTACGATGAATGTCGGTGTAGCATACTTTGACACCAAAAATTACCAAGTTGTTATGCTCGACTCCCCTGGTCACAAGGATTTCGTTCCTAACATGATATCTGGAGTGACGCAAGCTGATGCAGCTGTCCTAGTTGTTGATGCCTCTCTTGGATCATTCGAGTCAGGCATGGGCGTTAATGGGGTTGGTCAGACAAAGGAGCACTCACAGCTTATTCGAAGCTTTGGTGTCGAGAACTTGATAGTTGCTGTCAATAAGATGGATTCAGTGGAATATTCGGCAGAACGCTTCAATTATGTGAAATCACAACTTGGCATTTTTCTCCGATCTTGTGGCTATAAAGAGTCAGCGATAACCTGGGTTCCTTTGAGTGCGATGGAAAATGAAAATCTGGTGACAGCAGCTTCAGATACTCGTCTCTCATCATGGTAATAAGATATTCTGCATGGTAGACCTCATCGCATTATCTCTATTTCGCCAACTTATGGTCATCAGTATATAATCAATATATGCTTGTCAGGTTTCACGGGACTTGCCTTCTGGAAGCAATTGACTCGTCAGCACCACCTCCTCGTGATGTTTCAAGGCCACTACGGCTTCCAATTTGTGATGTTATTTCATCCCATGTGCTGGGGCAAGTGGCGGTTTGTGGTAAAGTGGTGTGTGGAGCAATCGGAAGTGATTCCAAGGTAAAGCTCTGAATTTGTGTCCTCACAGTTAGTCATACTAGTTGGTTTCTGAATTATTAATTTCATCGCATTTGTTTCGGAGGAGAATGCCTGCATGATAATATCGATATGCGCTGCAAACAAATCTACTCGGTTCAATAATTGCAGTTAGTTATCTTGCTTCGACTTCTGGAGCTGTTGTGTGATATCAAAAAACTCCTTTTTGCAGGTCCTTGTGATGCCTTCTGGAGAGCTAGCTACAGTGAAAATCATCGAGCGGGACTCCTCTCGTCTCAGCTTGGCAAGAGCCGGCGACAACATTGCGATTGGACTGCAAGGGATCGACCCGATCCATGTGATGTCTGGTGGAGTTCTGTGCCATCCGGATTACCCCGTGTCGGTGGCGTCTTCCCTGGAGCTGAAGATCCTGGTGCTAGACATCACCGTACCTATACTGCCCGGCCTTCAGGTATGTAGTAGCAAGCAACCACTGACCATGCATTGTGAGAGAATTCAATAGAGTTACTAATGCCGTGCCATCGCACAACGCACTGACTGCTACCCAAAATTGTCCCCAGTTTGAGCTCCATGTGCACCACGCGAAGGTGTCGGCGTCCCTGGTGAGAATCGTGTCACTGCTGGACCAGAAGACTGGCAAAGCCTCAGCGAAGAAGCCGCGGATGCTCACCGCTAGACAGGCTGCCATCATCGAGGTACGTCGCGTTACATGTGCGCCCTTACAGCAGATGAGTCTGAATGAGTGCCTGGTGATCGTCTGTGGTGCCTGTTTTGTCCAGGTGAAGCTGGAGAGGGAGGTGTGCGTGGAGGAGTTCGCGACCCTCAAGGCCCTGGGCCGGGTGTTCCTGCGGTCGCAGGGGAGCACCGTCGCGGTTGGCGTCGTGCAGGTACAGGGGGAGCGAGCAGAGCAGGCTTCTTAGGGCGCGTTGGTTAGGTCCATCCTGTAGGAGCAGAGTTGTATAGACAGACAGACACTCGTCGTCAGGTCAGGGGTGCGTGAACCTGAACGTTTTTGGCGGACCGGACCAGTTTACTTGGCTGGAGGATCTGGTCGAACTCGAAGCAGCGGCACCCACTCGCTCACTGTTCGCGCACTGCCGCTCCCCGTGCGCGTGGACGGCGGCGGATTTATGGGCGCCACGCGCGGGAGGTGACCCTCGCCCGACGGGCCGGCGCCGTGACCCGTGCGGTCTGCTTTTGGGTCGGTGCCTCTGCCGGACGCGGCCGTGCGGTGCGGCCGGCGGAGGTGGTGGTTGGCGCGTCGAGTTCTGGGGAATCCGATGTGCATCCGGAACCGGAGGCGTCCGCGTCTCATGTGCCTGTAGACAGACACTCATGAGTGATGAGGGGATTCCTCCTGTTGCTGTTGGGTTGGGCGTTGGCGCTGCTGCCGCGTCCGCATCTCCTGTAGGCAGTCACTGATGAATTCCTCCTGTTCCTGTTGGGCGTGGACCGCGTGGCAGCTCGCGCGTAGCAAGCACGAACTTCTGAGTTGTGACTGCTGAACGGTTAAGCGCTGGCCTGAGGATATTTCTGCTTGTGAGAGGGCCATAGCTCACATGGGTCTTCACGACGACACATGCGTCCACCATTATGCAGCCGAGCTTAGCTGCTAGTACATTCATATATCTATCTATCTCTATCTCTAATCTCTACACATCTAATAAAAGGATCGATGAGAGCTAGAGCTAGAGCTCCGAATAATTGAGCCGTACGAACAATGATCGATGTACGTCCCCTCTGCTTGCCCTTGCGCTGCACTGAACTCAACCATTATTCTCCTCGTTACCTTATCTTACTTTATTAATCTGATTGGGCCGTGCTCACTGGCTGGTCGACATGTCCACGTTGCGAGCTTCACCGTCCGTCCCGTCCGGCCGTCCCCGTCCGTTGAGGTCGTCGCTGATTTCCTTCCGTCCGACATGTCCACGTTCAGCACGTCCACCGATCGAGCTATCTCAACTGAAGCTATCGAGCTAGATACACTAGCACGCTACTTATATATCTCAGTAGAGTGTAAATGACAGAGACGTTCAGTATGCCTGCCGGCCGTGTGTGCTACTATCTATGTAGTAGTGAGTGCTGACAGGCTTAGGTCACCAGACACGAGCGCACCGTTCCAGCTTCACCAGTTCAGGATTAGTTAACTCGGCATCTGCACACATACATTTGTTTAACACTTCAAGGCAGCAGCACAGCTCACTTGTTTGCTGCTAGCTACTACTCGTGATCAGTCACCTTCAAGGAGCTCGTGATGTACCCGTAAAAAAATGATAGAGCTCGTGATCTCACCGAGCTAGGTGTATAATGATCCCCGGGAGTAGTATGATGGCTGCGTCCACGGTGTCGAAAGAACGGAAGGTCGTTGGCTCGCAGCAGTTGGAGTGTTGGGGTGCTGGACCCTGGGATTTGGACCATCCAACCGACCGGATGCAGTCGGAATCGAATGGCATGGACGGAGTGGACCCGTGTCGATCGATCTAAGATTGCCTACGCGCGTATGTAATCATGCCCTTGATGTCGACGTTCACGCGATTCACCAAGTTCTATCTCAGCCACCGAGAGGTGGGGGAAACATACAGATCAACATTGAGGCACCACTTCAGCTCTACTATGCTAGATTTGCGCATTCTTAGCGACAACGTCTCGACGGTGAGGGTGGCGTTGCACAGAGTACAAGTCCACACGGCTGCATCTTCCATCCTTAGCTACCGTGATGACGATGATAGTGCCGAGTGATTTTTTGTCATGGGCTCACCCGTTTCAATGTTATGTGACCACGATCTTCTTCGTCGACAAATGTGGCGGAAAATTAGCGGTTTGCTGACTTCCCATGCCAGGGTTGTCCCTGGCCAACAGTTTGGTTTTCTGCTTTTGAGTCACCGTGGAAAGTCGAAAACTCGAGATGTGAAATAGTATGAAACCAGAGACGACGACCTCGAAGAACGTTGATGTAACTTTTAGTTTTATCGTGGTTTTTTACCAGAGAGGACGACCTCAAAGAACGTTGATGTAACTTTTAGTTTTATCGTGGATTTTTATTTTTCATCTTCATTGTAATTTGTCAATCAGGTGTGCTATTTTGAATCAATCAGGAAAAAGTTGTGCATGCACTTCAAGTTTTCCTTCTTTCGAAGACATTAACACGAGGGTTAGAATTCTCACATGTCTGCTCCAATTGTTAATGAGAGGAGGTGGGATTGGCTTGCGCTTTTGATGGACGGATCTTTCACATTCGACGATGGCTCAGCAGCGACAAGCATGATCCGAAGAAACAACAAGGGTGAGGTTGTCTTTGCTGCCTAACAATTTCTATTTTATTGCAATGACACCTTGAAAGGTGAGATTCAAGCAATAATGATGGGAGGGTCGCTAGCACTGCAATGGTCTAGCCTTTTTATTCTGGTGCAATTGGAGTGGGTGGTCGGTCTATCTTCTATGCCGAATGCTTCCCTCATCAAATCACCATTTGGAAATCCGGTAACGGAAATCAAGAACTTCATGGTAGAACGGGAGTTTAAACTAGTAAAAATAGGTAGGTCTCATAATAGGGGTTTTCATTGTCTTGCTAATTATGCTCGCACAGTCCGTAGCACTGTTTGTTGGTTGCATCGCCGCCTTCTATTCTTGATCTTGTATTAGCTCTGTTGCTATGGAATAAAGCTCCCTGATTCATGCAAACAAGAAAAACTCTGCTCCAGCTGTAAATCCATACACACATATGCCATGTTGGCTTCCCGGTCCACGTGTTTGTTGATGTCGTTGATCACTTGGTTGCTAGCTTGGCCATGTCAGCATGTCAGTCAGTCGATTGGTGTGCATGGAGGAGTTCTCAACCCTCAAGGCCCTGGGCCGGGCATTCCTTTGGTCGCAAGGGAACAACATGGGGTTCGGCATCGTGGCCCATGCAGGCATAGGAGGAGCGAGCAGAGCAGGCCTAGGTTGCGTGAGATCAAAACTATGCCTATGAAGACGGAGAAGATGGACCGATCATGAGATTATGCTGCCACCCATGTTGCGACCAGCGAGGTTGTATTTAGTTAGCACAATTTCTCTCCGAAAATACTACATGAAAATCTTAATTTTTAGTGGCATCTTCGATTTTCAGATTAGTTTATTATTGTCCACTGGAATGTCTGTGTGCGAGAGTGCACCGTACATACAGCCAACTGTGACGGACCAAGACGTAGTAAGATTACAGCGAAACACATCCCGACCTTGTGTCAAGTTAATTGAATCCAAACGGAATAGAAGATGTTGCCATCACACATGTCAAGGGCCAATCAAATCCCTCCTAAATGATATATCTAGTGGAGAACTGCTCAACACGCGCGCAAGAGTATCATTCTTATCGCGTACAATGCAGTACACTGTTCCCAGAGAGTGGCATTTTCTAGTCACTTGTCCTCTAAAAAATGTATCACCTAGCCGGCCTTTATCGCGAAAAATTCTAGGTGGAAAAGATGTTTCTTTACGGCCATCAATAAGTTCATCTGCACATTGTAAGTTCACTGTCTAATGAATCTGTTTATTATTATATCAGAAAAAACTATCAAGGAATATGTCAAGAGATTGCAGCAGAATCTGCCCTGTCGTTGTATGTTTTGTAAGTGTAGATGGTTACATTTCGATGACTACTGATGTTAGATGCTTTGTCAACTTAGAACTAATTAATGTTTTTCATGGCGAATAGTTATTATAGTAACATCACAATCATTGTTCTTCTTTTCTATTAATAGTTATTATAGCACCAATTTATATATTTTTAGTGCCAATTTATTTACATGGATTGACTTCCATAAATAGCTCAACGTTTTGTGGGTTTGATGGTCCACCGTAATATATAGAAGCATCGGGAGGCATTGTAATCACCGATGAAGAATGATATCCATTCAGACAAGAATGGTGTCCCTCGATTGAAGATCAATAAATTTAACTTATCTTTTCTAGCTGTCTTGTTTTTAGTTAGACATGAGCAAGTACATTGTTAGTAAGACTAGTTATAGTGGAGAGTAATTTAGACTATCAACATGCATGTGTTACTAGTCTATGTTACTACCTTCATAGTGGATAGTGTCATATGCATGATCACATAGAGAACTTCATTTATTACTTTGCAGAATCATTTTTATGGGAAGTGTTATATGATGGTAACATCTTATGTTACTACATTTCTCACTCTCCTTTTGTAATTATTTTTCACATCACTTTTTATGCGTATATGGTATGCTTGTTACTTCTTATGTTACTCCCGCTAGGAGTAGTCTAAGGAGTGCATTTGACTCAAATTTCTTAAATTGGCTTTTAATTCCAAAATTGCATGTCAAAATTTTGTTAATTTATCTGATTTCTCTTAATAAAAGAGGCTATGATACACTACTAGGGAAAACCTTATACACAGAAATTTAGCAACACCGCGGGTCAAAAAAGAGCGCTGGTGCTAAATAGCAGTAGCGATTGGCGAAAAACCGCGCTACAGATACAACTTTAGCAGTAGCGCGTGTAGTGACAAAAGCGGTACTACTAATATTCCCATTGCTAGAATGACAGGGTACGCATAGCAGTAGCGGGCTTGGAGGAACGCGCTGCCGCTACGTCATAAGTAGCAGCGCGTTTCCTTAGAAGAGCGCTACTAATAACGGAAATAAAATAAGATGAAAAACAAATAGAAAAGTAAATGAAAATGAAAGAAATAGAAAAAGGAGAAAGGAAAAAATTAAATGTAAAGCAAAATAAATGAAAAGGCGAAAAAAACGGAGGAAGGCATAGCAGCAGCGTGTGTTTGTAAGAGGCGCTATAGCTAACGTAGCTGCAGCGCGTGTCCTAGACCCCCGCTATAGAAATAGAAAAGGAAATTAAAAAATGGAAGAAAATTACATAGCTATAGCAGCAGCTCGTTTTCCTAAAACCGCTATAGCTA